TCCCATGCATTTTGCAAAACCTACATTTCGGCTCCCACTGAACTTTTGCTTGTCCACCCCTGGTATATAACATATTGGTGAAATTTTGTTCCTGTGATTTAATTAGTGTTTAATTGTTAAGTCATTCTTTTAGCCAAGAATTTTAGTAGGCCTATTTCCTTTAATAATAAAGCTTAATATCTAAATTTTTAGAAATACAAAATTCCTTCCCGAAAAAGTAAAATATTCCTTTGAAAAAAAAAATATTCCGTATTTTAATTGCAAGACAAATATGTTGAAGAAGAATTCGTATTTGAGGCTGTCTATAAATTTTGTTCGCATTTTTCTTGAAATTTTTACTCCCTTCCCTCTTGTCTCAGTTTGTCTAAGTTTCTTTAAACTTTATTTTATTTTGTTTATTACCTGAATTTGTAGAACGTTTTCAAATGAATTCAATACAAATGTGCATTATTGTTAAGAAAGGAATGTGATAAACTGTAGCTCAACAACATGTAACAATGTGTGCTGATTTGCATTCGTTCCACTTTCCTCGCCCAGCATGAAAATACGCCGTTTGCAGAAATCTGCCAACTGGGCTCGGGATCTGCGGTCGGGCAATATTTTATTTGTTCTATAAAATTAACGGCGAAAGAGGCCGCTCTATCCCGGTTTCCATACAATATCTCGATGGTCCTGCTTGTGATCCAAATTAGTATCTAAGTGATAAATGTAGGCAGGGCCGGCTCGTTCATATAGGCGAACTAGGCAATGGCCTAGGGCGCTTGAATTCTGGGGGCGGCATGGCGAAAGTACATGCATAAATTACAATAAATAATGGAAAAATGAATGTTTTTTTTATCACAATTCTTTCTCACGTGTTAACCCGTGAGTCTCCATTTTGAAAGTAGCACCGTAGTCTCACGATCGCGATATTGCATGCTGCATCTATATATATAAAAATGAATGTATGTCTGTGTGTGTGTGTGTGTGTGTGTGTGTCCTTCATGCATTACCACACCGTTTATCCGATTGCCGTGAAACTTTGGGAAGTTGTTTAATATACTCCAGCGAAGGTTTGTGGCATAGTACAATTGCCATGAAACTTTGGAAAGTTTTTTAATACCCTCCCGCGAAGTACATTTATCCTACGATAGATGGCGCGCGTTTACACGAGCATTCGAGCACAGTGTGTTCGATCGATTTCAAATTGTGAAGACCATTTCCCCCTTCAAAAAATATCTCTATATATGCATTTGTGAACTGTTATTTACGATATTTGTAATAATTTTTGTTTAATCACTTTATTTCAACTTTTTTTTGCTAATTATGTATTCGCTCGAACTTCGTTAAAACCTTAACTGTACCCCGAACAACAACTGAAGTTGTAGGAAGAAATTCGCGTATTTTACCAATCTAGGTATCCCCCTTTTCCAAATTTTAATATTGACTCAAATTACAATAAAACGGTTTATTATCCAACTATCAGAAATTTCACAACATGCCAAGGAAGAGAGGAAGGAGCAATTAAATAATTAAAATTATAAAGGATTAAAAAATACATATATAAAAATGGGAAATATTGCACTTCTGACAATTGCTGCAAGTGTATGAGCTAAATTTGGAGAATCCATGCTTCTCGCATGGACAACTGTATGTGGCTGGCTCACGCGTCGGAAAACCTTCTGATTTATTCATGTATGCACCAGACGGAAAAACAAAAAATATCGTGTATCCACAAGCACTCCAATAAATAAACAGAATTGAAACGACACTTTGAAATGTTTTCCCAATGAAAATGAATAATAATAATAATAAGTTTCAATAAAAATGATAAAATGTAAATTTAATTTTATCATAACGAGTTTGCTTGAATTTCGTTTCTTCTGAGATCGCAGCAATGCGCGACGGTAAGCTAGTATTGAATAAAAATTAGATACTCTATTTTACATTGGTATTTTATATTGTTGCGATTTTTTTTAAATGGGGCGACGTTAAAGTCATTTGCCTAGGGCACTGAGTTTGCTCGGCCTGGCAGTGAATGTAGGTCACGTTAATTCAGTTCTAACTCCCAAAATATTATGGTACAAACGAAAATTTTGAAGGAACAATCCGATACAAACGAAAAGCAATTGGTTCACGTCATTTTTTTACTCGGTAAAAACACCTAATGGGGCAACTTCACGGGCGTTATTTAAACTTTTTTCACTGTTTTTTACTAACATTAAAAATAGAAGTACTGTAATATAATCCCAATTTGAAATTTTATCCAAAATGTTATTGATAATTCATAGCCGAAAGTCAAAAGTTGCATAACCAGGAATCATCTTAAGGGAGAAACATAACTAGGCTTTTTTTAACTTCACCTGTGGCACTAAGAGAGCTATTTTAGCAAGCCTATTGTGGGTTCAGCCAGATCAACAATGAAACGGAGAGGTATGAGGGACAGTGTCTGACATATCTAAGCCGAAAAATTCCGAGTCTTATGACACGTCATGATTCTAATCCGGGTCCTCCAGAGGGATAAGCTGTCACTTAAACCGTTTGGCCATCTGACTGTCATCGGGACTGGGTTTGCGCATAAAATCATTTCTGTATATAAATTTTTTAAGATCCATACTTATAAAAGTTTTATTATTGTTATGATATCAAATTAAATGAATTATGATATAAGTACTGTATTACTAAAATTATTATCTCCATTATACTAAATCCAAAGTATAAGTACAATTGAAAATAAGTTGAATCCGACGGCCGAGCGATTAAAGGTGGCAACTACCACACTGGGGATCCAGGATTAAATCGAATGATTCGAAAAAATTCCAGGAATTTTTTGGGAAGGTTCATCCGGTCGTGTTAAGCCCCATCCCCACCACCCGATCTTCCCATTATGGTCCTATCTATACCCATAATGAGCTTGCAAAAAGGCCCACAGGACAGAATTTTAAAAATAAATAAACAGTTTTGAATTTTAGAGAAATCTGAAATGACTTTTATTCAGAACTAGCTGCAAGGACCCGCTTCGCTGGGTTTTTATTTGTTCGTACATTTGTATGTAATATAGTTTTTTTTATATATATAAAAGACTGTTTTTCTAAGTAATCTAGAATCTAGCTGTAAGGACCCGCTTTGCTGGGTTTTTAAAAAGTAACGATAGTGAAGATTAAGATAATTACATTATAGCCAATCTTACCCGTTTTCACAGAATGCACGAATTGGGTCCCCTTTGAGAATTTTTAGATGGGTCTAAAAATATGTTCGATTTCCCGCAAAAACGAAAAAAACTGCATCTGCGTATCGCACGTCGCTTTCTCTTAACAATTCCATTGTTACGTAACATTTCCATTGTTGACACTTCCATTGTTACTTAACACTTCCATTGTTA